ACTACTTGGCAGAGAGAGGAATCAAGCGGCTCATCTCCCTTCCCTACGCCCATCAACAGCAAGGCATAGCAGAAAGGATGAACATGACACTACAAGCCACCATGCGCAAGCTGCTACGTGGCATGCATCTGCCCAACCACCAGTGGCCCGAAGCAATGGACCACGCCGTCATGCTGCACAACTTGCTCTCGTCATCATCGCTCCCGAACAACGCATCACCGCACCTGCTGTGGACAGGAAAATTGGGCAGCACAAAAATGTTACGAGTTTTCGGGTGCATGGTACAGTACCGACCACCATCTGCACGCGCCGGTCGATTCTCCCAGCGAGCACAGTGGGGAGTACACCTGGGCATCGAAAAACACTACAACGCGTGGAAAATCTTCGACATCAACAGTAAAGAAACAGTCGCAGCACGTGACGTCCTCTTCTACGAGAACCTCACCCTCGACGTTCACCTCGCCTACGTAAGAGCAAACAGACCTGATCCCTCGGGCGGATTCACTGGAACCCGAGCCTTCGCTTCGGCAGAAGACGAAGCTGACTGGGACGAGCAGAACGTGGACGGAGCCTCGGAAGAAGCCGGACCACTACCGTACTGCTGGGTAGACGTACCAATGGACGACGACAACCCTCGCGAAAGCATCAACGCCGAAGTCTTCTACAAGTTCGCCGACGACGGTTACGTTACACCTGAGCAAGTCAACACCAACGAAGCAGAACGCGTAGGTGTCGAGAGAGTTAGCACGATGAGGAGCCATAGCTAGGGTTGACCTAGCTAGGCAAGAGAGAATGAAGCAAAGGAGAGGGTTTGCACTAGCAACAATGGTGGTACAAATAGCTAACCCTAGAAGGGTTGTACTCGCTATAGAGCACCCCACTGCAGGCTAGAGCATAATATTCTGACACACCCCCATAGCCAAAGTGGGGTGTAATCAGCAGAGCAAGCAAAGCAGTACAAGCTCAGGGTGGATCACGATGTCACCACACATTCTGAGCACAAGTTCAAGAAGCAATAGTTTCAAGTTCACAATTATGAGCAAAGCTAGAGGCAGTCACAGAGGGCAAGTGAGGAGGAGGAGGGCTGGCGAGAGGAGAGTAGATTAGGAGGCGACGACTGAAGCTGCAGACACACGGGCAACAGACGGCTCTGGTGCAACACAGTGGCTACCGGGAATGAGTGCCCCGGAGTACAGGAGTAACAGGCTCCGCGGCTAATACGCGCGGCAGGAGCAACGGACCCACAGGCGACGGCGCAACCGGCTCTCTGAGCTACCGGGAATGAGTGCCCCGGAGTACAGGCGCTGCGTACGACACGACGGCAACCTCCGCTCAACCTCCCCCAACAGTCCCACACCCCTCGACACACACCCCCTGCTTCAAACCCTAGCTCCACTCCCACGGTACCCCCCTTAAACCCCAAACCCTAGGCTCCCACACACCACCCCCCTCAGCGGCAGCTGTAGCAGAGGGAGACGAGGGAGGAGGAGGAGCAGGGGGAGTAACTCACAACCGACACCCCCATAGCCGCCACCCCCACACTCCTCACCCCCAAACCCTAAAACGGGCGGAACGGGGGAAGGAGCGCGGGGGACGGCGAGGGGGACGGTGCGCGACCCCCAGGACGCCACCACGGGGCAGCGAGGGGCCGCGCGCGGCTCCTTAGGGCGCCGCGAAGGGGCAGCGGGGGGTCGCGCGCGGCTCCCCAGGGCGGCGCGACGGGAAATCGGGGGCCGCGGGCGACGGGAACGGGGGGGCCGCGGGCGACGGGAACGGGGGGCCGCGGGCGACGGGAACGGGGGGCCGCGAGTGACGGGAACGGGGGGCCGCGGGCGACGGGAACGGGGGGCCGCGGGCGACGGGAACGGGCAGAATCCGTCGCGCGTCCAGGGCGCGCGACGGGCAGAAACCGTCGCACGCCCGGGGCGCGCGACGGGCAGAGAACCGTCGCACGCCCGGGGCGCGCGACGGGCAGGAAACCGTCGCACGTCCGGGGCGCGCGACGGGGACGAAATCGCCGCACGCTCGGGGCGCGCGACGAGCAGAAAATCGACGTGCGCCCGGGGCGCGTGGCGGGCAGAAAACCGACGCGCGCCCCGGGCGCGCGACGGGCAGCAGAGAGGCCCATGAGCGGAAGCGTAGTGGTGGGCCCTATGAGACAGGTCCTAGGAGAAACCTTGCTCTGATACCATGTCGAGAGAGTTAGCACGATGAGGAGCCATAGCTAGGGTTGACCTAGCTAGGCAAGAGAGAATGAAGCAAAGGAGAGGGTTTGCACTAGCAACAATGGTGGTACAAATAGCTAACCCTAGAAGGGTTGTACTCGCTATAGAGCACCCCACTGCAGGCTAGAGCATAATATTCTGACAGTAGGGCCCAATTTCGCACCTGACCCAGAAGCTGGAGACGAAGCAGTCTATCCCGAGGACACCACACTCCCCCGCTACACACAGAGTGGACTCCAAATCCTTGGACTCGTCACCGCAGTCCACGGCGCCGACATTCCTAGGGAGCCTGCGACGGTTCAACAGGCTCTGGGGGGGGAGCACAGGGAAAAATGGCGCGAAGCCATGGACAGGGAGCTGAAGGCGTTAGAAGAACGCAACACCTGGAAGGTCGTCCCTATCGGCGTAGCACGAAACAAGACTATACTCACCGGAAAATGGGTCTTCCGAGTGAAGACGAAAGCCGACGGCACCATCGAAAAGTTCAAGGCACGATGGGTCGTGCGCGGCTTCGACCAGGAACACGGACGCGACTTCACCGAAACCTTCGCACCTGTGAGCCGACACACTTCGCTCCGAATTCTCCTCGCAATCGCCGCCATGAAGAAGAAAAAGCTGCGGCAGATCGACGTCGCAAATGCATTCCTCTACGCACCTGTCGACGCAGAGATTTTCGTGGAGCTACCACACGGCTCCAGCACGGACTCCACACACGTCTGCCAGCTACTCAAGTCACTCTACGGCATCAAACAGGCCCCGAGACTGTGGCAGCAGTACCTGCACGCTCGCCTCATTCGCATCGGCTTCAAGCAGCTACCGCACGATCAGGGCATGTACCGACTCACGAAGAACACTGACTACATCCTACTAATCGTCTACGTGGACGATCTCCTCTACATCGGCTCTACCGACGGCATCACCACCTGGTTCGAAGGGGAGCTGCAGAAGGATCTCACCCTCACTGTTTCGTCTACCGTCACACAGTACCTCGGTCTCAACATTCGAGAAGGTGACGACGCGATCTATCTCAGCGCCGCGAAGTACGCCGACACCATCGCCAAGCGCTTCAATCTCACACCGACTACCATCACCACACCGTACCGCTACACGACAGGAAGTAACAAGGAAGGATCCGCCCTACTCAAGACCGGCGGCATACGCGACTATCAGAGGAAGCTAGGATGCCTCCTCTTCGCAGCTGTCACCTGTCGTCCTGACCTCTCATACTCCGCAAGCCAGCTCGCCACCTACCTCAAGAAGCCTGAAGCGGAACATCTGGCGGAGCTCGACCGCACTCTTCACTACTTCGTCAGCACCTCAACGATCGGCCTAACGTATCACAAGAACGCAACTACACCGACTAAACTAATCGGCTACGTCGACGCCGATCACGCCGGCGACTCCGACAACAGGCGCTCGCGCACCGGCTACATCTACCGCCTCGGTTGGTCCTATCTCCTGGCAGTCGAGCAAGCAGGAGTTAATCGCGCTATCATCAGCTGAAGCAGAATACATTGCACTCTGCTCAGCCACCAAGGAGGGACTTTATCTTCGCGAGCTGCTGGAAGAAGCGAAGTTAGCCGAGTTACCCAACTTCACCCTGTTCTGCGACAACCAGTCGGCAATTCGCATCGCCAACAAGAACGGCTTCGCGAACAGGACGAAACACATCGCCCTGCGATATTTCTTCGTGAAGGACGAGATCGAGAAGGGGAGACTCGAACTGTCATACTGCCCCACATCCGAGATGGCAGCTGACTATTTGACCAAGAAGCTCGTTAAGCAGAAATTCGAGTACTGCATGCTGCTGACTGGACAGAGCCACGTCATCAGCTGCGACACTCCAGAAGCGAAGGGGAGTGTTGGAAACAGTGAATCTTAAGCGCCTCTGTCGTGTCGAAACACCGCACCAGAAGCGAAGTGAACCATATCGAAGCACCCGCGAGTCAACCCTCGGAGGTTGAGAGGTTGCTGGAGGTTACGCGAAAGTCAAAGGTCAAGCGACCTTTGACCTGACAAATGCAGCGCGACAGTTAAGGACACACAACTGACTCGTTACAGAGCAGTTGCCCGAGTCGTACTGTATCGAACCGCAACAGCAACAGTAAATTAGTTACAACCGTATCGTTTCGTATTCCTTGTACTATTATAAATATTCTTGTATCTCTTTGCTATAATCAATCTACTTTGCCCTCACATACCAGCGCAAGGTGGTTCACAAACTTTTCGTTAAACGCTTCCGCTATTACAAGGTTCCTACCCAGAGTTCACCCCTGAAAAGATCCTAAGGGCTTATCTCAGCCCAACATTATAAGCCCACCCCCCCCAAAAAAAACACGTTTTATTATTGCCCACCATGGGGGCATATCCGGGGTATGACGGTAATTCATCTCGTTTGTAGTAACGATGTTTCGACACAACAGAAGCGTTAATTAATTGTTTTGCAACAAGATACACGGTGGGTGGGTAGGTTCTTTGGAGAAGGAGCTTATGAGGGAGAGTTGAGGGTGGGGTGGGTGGGGAAGATTGGCAAAAGAAACGGGATCCACTATCGAGCGAGCAATACAAATAGGATAGAACATGCAAGGAATGGAGGTACACCACCAATACAAGGACTATATGACTACACTACAACTAACTACAAGCATTTATATGAAATTATATTTTAACAATATGGTACAGGGGTGACGATTGTTGTCACATATACCGTAGTAGAAGCTGACAGGTGCATTTGTTTGCGATATTCTTCCACTGTCAGGCTCCATGCAATATGACTCAACCATGCGCCTCGCTGGCAAGGGCCTCTGCCTCGCCTTCCACGCCTGGCAACCACACGGCTGCTTGTGAGAGCACATCAGCCAGCAGCACGGGGCGACCGGTGTTGATGGACACGTGTGCCGCCACTCCCATGGCCACGGCCAGGCGCCCCTCCTCCAGCCCCACCAGCTGCTGCGATGGCCCCTCCCCCCCCTGTGTGATGGCACGCAGGAACTCCAGGTGCTCGATGAAGCTCGCCCCGTGGTGCAGCCCCTCGTACCTGCCACCGCCAGGGGGACCGGGAGGGGGTGAGGGCATGCGTGGGGGAACTGAGTGCTGCTGCTGCTGCTGTTGCTGCTGCTGCTGGTGTTGTGCTGGTGGTGGTGGTGCAGGAAGGTGAGTTCAAGGAAAAACAGACCGTGGGGTGTGAGCATGTGGGCGTACACATAGCCTGCAAGGAGAGCAGGTAAGGGCAGTGAGCAGGAGTGTGTGTGTGTGATTGGGTGTGCTGTGCGTACAGCATGGAACATGCAAGGGCAGAGGGCTTACTGAATGCGCTCATCGCTGCACGTACGAGTCACCACGCCCTGCCTGCCCCCTTCACGGCTGCCCACGCGCACAATGCCTTCGGGGACCAGCGCCTCCACCTGCACGCACATGCCATGCACCCACCGCGCCATGCACCCACCGCGCCATGCACCCACCGCGCCATGCACCCACCGCGCCATGCACCCACCGCACCATGCACCCCGCGCCATGCACCCACCGCGCCATGCATCATGCGAGCACGCAGGGCAAGACGGGGTGAGGCACGTGAAAGGACCAAACATGTGGCAGTGGTGGAATGCTCAGCCGGGCTCAGCCATGAGTATAACCAACATGCATGTACTCCAAGGCTGCGCCCATGGCCCTCACCTTGCCCCTGTCCCCCACCACGCATATCTCCTGCTCATTGCGCGACCCCTCGGCGAACATGCAGAGGTCCAGACAAGCCCTGCCGCCCCCCTGGTACTCCACGATCACGTACGCGTTGTCCAATATGTCCGACACCTGCCAGCCATGCCATGCCATGCCATGCCACGCCATGCCATGCCATGCCATGCCACGCCATGCCATGCCATGCCATGCCATGCCACGCCACGCCACGCCACGCCACGCCACGCCATGCCATGCCATGCCATGCCATGCCATGCCAAGGCACAGCAAGGGGGGAACATGTAGCTGTGGAAGACGCGCAGCTGAGAAGCAACCAGTGCATGGAGCGACTTTTGGGTGGACTCAAAAGTCACCAGGGAGGATGTGCCATGGCTACCTGCCGCCCACCTTGCCGCCCACCTTGCCATGGTACTCCTCGGAGAGGTGGTTGACGCTCTGCCCACCCGACGCCATGACGCGTGTGGGCGTGTCGTGGAGGATGAGGTTCATGAGGTCGAAGAAGTGGCAACACTTCTCCACCAGCGTGCCCCCGCTGTTGGCATTGAACCGGTTCCACGCTCCCACCTGCCATGCACGGCGCCGCACAGCAGTGATGATGTGCCGTGAGAGCGACAGAGATGCCCCATAGACAGTGGCATGGCAAAGAAAGGCGAGGCAAGGCAAGGAGGCGAGGGCAGGGAAGGCGTGGGTTGGGAGGGCAGGGAAGGCGTGGGTTGGGAGGGCAGGGAAGGCGTGGGTTGGGAGGGCAGGGAAGGCGTGGGTTGGGAGGGCAGGGAAGGCGTGGGTTGGGAGGGCAGGGAGGGCAGGGAGGGCAGGGAGGGCAGGGAGGGCAGGGAGGGCAGGGAGGGCAGGGAGGGCAGGGAGGGCAGGGAGGGCAGGGAGGGCAGGGAGGGCAGGGAGGGCAGGGAGGGCTCAGAGAGCAGGGAGGGCGTGCCTTGTGGAGGAAGGGGAAGCGGTGCTCGCGGATGGCCACCATGTGCACTCGCCCCACGGCGCCCCCCCGCACCTCCCTTAGCAGCGCCGCCACGGGCGGCATGAAGCGGTACTCCAGCCCCACCTGCACCACCCCCGCCGCTGCCCGCGCCCGCGCCGCTGCCAGCGCCAACACCTGCAGGCCAGTGGGCGGGCAGTCGAGAAGGCGGGCAGGCAGACAGGCGGACAGGCGAGCGGGAGGGCAGGTGGGCAGACAGCACGGCATGTGCGGGAGCAACGTAGTGAGAGGCAGGGAGGGAACGGGTGGTTGGGCAGGAAGGGCGGGCATGGCAGCGTGCAATCAACATCCCCTCTGTTGACCTCCCCACACCACTCGTTTCCCTCACCCCCCCCTCCTCCCCCCTCTCCCCCTCCCTCCCAGTGCACGCACGAGGTCGCAGCCTTGCACGGTCGTGGCGAGGGGCTTCTCCACCAGCACGTGCAGGCGGCGCGGGTGGCGCAGGATGGCTTGCAGCAGCGCGGCGTGCGTCATGTTGGGCGCCGCCACCACCAGCGCGTCCACCTCGCATGACCCGCTCGCCAGCAGGCTGTGCACGTCGGGGAACACCTGAGAGGCCGCGCAGGGGAGGGCGAGAGGGGCGGTCATGAGGAGATGGAGGAGCGCTCACTGCGCGCTGCGCTGCACTCACCCGCCACGCCACCGCCCCACTGCCATGTCCTCGCAACACACGCCATGCCCCGTCGGCACACACGTGCTCACCTTCAAACGCATTCGTCGCCATCACCCGTGCTAATCAAAGTCCTCCCCCAGACGCCCCCTCCTCCTCTCCCACCCCCCCCAGCGCGCACCTGCACGTCGGTCCAGCCGGCGCGGGCAGCGGCGGCGAGTCCGGCGGCCTGCGAGGGCGGGTGGGGGTCGGCGAGCGCCACGAGCTGCGCGGCCACGCCGCCCGTGAGGTCGGGGCGGGCCGCCATGGCGGCGAGGTTGTGGATGTGCTCCACGCCCATCATGCCGCTCCCCACCACTCCGTACCGCACCCGCGCTTCACCGCCCGTCCTGCTCTGCTCGTCCATGTGAGGCGGGTGAGAGAAGCGCCCGCAACGGGGCCACGGCTGAGCTAGCTGGGCGTACTTTTACGAGTGCGCGCACGTACTCCAAACAAGTGTGAAACACTCCCTCACCTGTAATTTTCGCCGCAATGCTCGCACGCTTATTCGTCCCTACATATCTTGCGTGTGCAGCATGTGCCGACGATCCTAGTAAACGACGTCGCAAATCGCGGGAAAACTCAACTGAGAGGTTCATTTTGGTGCGCAATGGTCTAAAGCTTATATATGTGTGCATGTGTGTCTAAAGCATTTATATATGTATTTATATATAACCACGTCAAACCAAGTTTGAACAAACAAGTATGCCCCTCCAATCTTCAAGAAGTTTGCAGTCCTCGCCAATGTTCGACCAGGGCTGATTTTGTTAGAATCTAAGGCAAGGATGATGAGATTAGGTCAAGGTGGGGTACAAGAGTAGAGTGTCGAGAGAAATGTGTGTACCCCCTAAGGCTATCCCCAATATAGCCTAGATATAATATGCATATGTTTTGACACACCCCCATAGGCGAAATGGGGGATAGCCAGAGCAAGCAACGGTCACAAGACCAGTCAAGAGACAAAAACACAGCTCAGGGTGGATCACAACGTCACCACTCCCACTGAGCACAAGCAAACGGCCACAGGGCCAGTCCACATGCAGAGGTATATAAACAACAAGAACAGTACAGTGATCTCTAGCTAGCAAGAGCCAACATGCAGGTATATATAAAGATCACAGTACAAACAAGGGCTACAGCAAGTGTGGAAACGTCGGAACAAGGCCCAACAAAGTACAAAGGCGCTGATGATCACCAGACGGAAGTGCCTTGGTGAATATATCAGTAGTGTTGGCCCGAGTGTCCACGTGACGGAGACGAAGCTGGCCTCGCTGCTGCAACTCTCGAGCCAGGAAGTAACGCAGAGCAATGTGCTTCGTTCTGTGCTCCAGTCTGTGCTCCTCACACAAGGCAATGGCAGCCTTGTTGTCGACGTACAGCACTGGAGGAGAACGAGGCCGCTCTCCCAGGTCGGTAAGCATGTAGGTGAGCCAGCGCAACTCCTGTGCAGCCATGGCTGTGGCGTAGATCTCAGCCTCACAACTAGAGCTGAGAACTGAAGACGAGCGAGTAGAACGCCAAGAAACTGAACCAGAGCCAAGGCTGAAGGTGTAACCCTGTGACGACCGCTGAGTAGCCTGGTCGTCAACCCAAGAAGCGTCTGAGTGCCCAGTGAGAACAACTGGGCTCCTCCCACCAAGCACTAGCCCCATGCCCGATGTATTGCACAAGTAGCGCAGTACCCTCTTAGCAGCAGCCATGTGCTCAGGTCGGTGCCGACTAGGAGCCACGTAGCGAGCCAGAAGACCAAGAGGGTACGCGAGGTCAGGACGAGTGCAGGTCATCAGATACATGAGGCAGCCAACTAGCTCTGGGTAAGGACCACTCGGCTCTACGGACTCGTCCGAAGGTGGAGCTGAGAGTGAGTGACCTGTCGCCAGAGGAGTGGCCTGTGCTGAGGACCAGGTGAAGCCGAAGCGCTGAAGGACCTGCTGCACCATGTGTGACTGAGTCAGTGTGATGGTGCGGCGTGCTCTGTCCCGGGTGATCTGCAAGCCAAGGTAACTGCGCAGCTCACCCAGGTCTGTGCACGTGTGTCTCTTCTGCAGCTCGGACTTCACCAGGGCAAGAGCCTCAGTGTCAGCAGTGGCAAAAACCAAGTCGTCGACGTACACGAGGATGTAGAACGGCGGCAGTGAAGTGTCGGTGCGCAGAAACAGCGACGGGTCAGCAGTAGAAGGCGCGAACCCAAGAGCCGCAAGCGTAGTCCTCAGTGTGTCGTGCCACTCACGTGGCGCCTGGCGGAGACCGTAGACCGGCCGCCGGAGGCTCCACTGGGTACCAGGAGGGAACGACCCAGTGAAGCCCGGGGGATGGCGCAGCCAGATCTCCTCGTGCAGGCTGCTCTGCAAGAAAGCTGTGCTGAAGTCAAGAGAGTGAAGCTCGTAGTCACGGTGAGCGGCAACGTGCAGCAGCACCCGAAGAGTGGTCATCTTCGGGGTGGGGGAGAAGGTCTGGAAGAAGTCTACTCCCTCTCGCTGACTGAAGCCTCGAGCAACGTACCGAGCCTTGAAGACGGGCGGAGAACCTGGCGGCCGCTTCACCCTGAAAATCCACATGCCACTGACGATGTTCGCCCCAGGAGGGGGAACCTCGTCGACGTAAGTGCCAGTGGACTTCCAGGATGCCATCTCTGCGTCCATGGCTGTCTGCCACTGAGAGGAGTACTCACCCGCGATCGCCTCAGCGTAAGAGCGCGGGGTCGGGATGTCTGGTGCATCCGGGTCTCCCTCAGGGGCAAGCAGCATGGCCACGAGATGAGGCGCAGCAGCTGCAAGACACTCAAGGTCCTCGTGCCTGTCCTCAAGGACGTCCGTGCTAAGAGCACACTCACCCCCGACGGACGGAGGACAGACAGACTCAGACTCAGCAACAAGACTAGTGGCGTAGTCTAGACGACAGGCAGCAGCAAAGTCAACAAGCTCAGCGACCAAGGCAGACGCAGCAGCAGACTCAAACGACGGGTCAGTGACAACAGTGGCTAGTAGACGCGTGACTGTAGGATGGTCAGCACAGAGGGGGAGACGGCAGGGGAACAGACTGCGGAGCAGAGGGAGGACGACGGACAACAAGGTGTGTACTGGGGACAGTCGGCTGACGTGGACGAGAAACACGACGACCAGTACGACCAGAACGAACAGGCGAGACTGGACGCGACGCAGGCGCACGACGCTCAGCAAGACTACCTGTCTGCTCAGTGTAAGGAGAGGGAGCAGGCAGCGGTGAGCCAGGCTGTAACGGAAGACCAGTAGACGACGGGAGAGTAACAACCTGACGAAGAGCAGAGTCAGGCGGTGGCAGAGACGACGGAGACGGCGGAGCGAAGAACAGTCGTGTCGGCGCAGCTGCACCAGCACCAGCAGCTCCAGCAGCTCCAGCACCTCCAGCAGCTCTAGTGCCTCCAACAGCTCCAACACCTCCAGTAACTCCAGTAGCTCCAGTGCCTCCAGCAGCTCCAGCAGCTCCAGTCGCAGAACCGGTACCTCCAGCGGTAGCACCACCAGAACCAGCGGCACCAGCAGCAGCACCCCCAGAACCGGCACCTCCAGCCCCAGAGTCTCCAACCGCAGGGTCTCCTGTAGCAGCACCACCAGAACCAGCACCTCCAGTCCCAGGGTCTCCAACCGCAGTGTCTCCCGCAGCAGCACCCCCAGAACCAGCACCTCCAGTCCCAGGGTCTCCAACCGCAGGGTCTCCCGCAGCAGCACCACCAGAACCAGCACCTCCAGTCCCAGGGTCCCCAACCGCAACGTCTCCAGCAGCAGCACCACCAGCACCAGCAGCTCCAGCACCCCCAGCAGTAGAGCCCCGGGCTCCAGCAGCCCGACGCTGACGCCGACCGTACCAGTCGTGTAGCTGCTGAGGGGTGAGAGGCACACGCGGACGAAGGCGGCCACTCCAAGTAGGCCGCGCACCAGCAGTCCCAGTACCCTCAAGCGTCTCACCGCCAGACTCAGCACCCCCAGACTCCGCACACACAGGCTCAGTACCCCCAGACTCCGCACCCCCAGGCTCAGCACCCCCAGACTCCGCACCTCCAGGAGCACCACCCCCAACAGCACCAGAGTCAACAGTAACCGGCTGCAGAGGCGGCGAAGAAGGTCGCGGAGGGAACCCTGGAGGGGTCTCCAAGCGTGGTGCCCGGCCGAAGGCCGCCGGGGCGTCAGCAGCAACGTCACCCCCCTCAGGTGGGCCAGAGGTGTCAGAAGTGACCTCCAAAGGCTCAGCCAAGGGGGGGGGGTCTACCTGAGACACACCTGAAGGAGCCGTACCCTGAGGGGGGAGGGGGTCTACCGGGGGGGGACCTGGCGCAAGGAAGAGCGGCGGGGGGGGAAGGGGGGCAGCGCGGTAGGGGAAGAGACGGTAGTACGGAACCGACTCGTCAAACGTGACGTCCTGGGAGGACAGAACACGGCGCGAGGTGGGGTGGTAAAACTGCCAACCAGGCGCGTCAAGGGGGAAGCCAAGGAAGACGCAGGGAATAGCACGGGAGGACATCTTGTCCGCAGACAAGTCTCGGACAAAAGCCCGAGATCCCCAGACACGGAACGCAGACGCATCGCCAACCTTCCCCGTCCACAACAGAGTGGGGGAGGTCCCCGGCATGGAGACCCGGGGCTGAAGGTTGATCTGACGCGCCGCGTACTGAACCGCAAACGGCCACAGAAAATGGGGAGCAGCCGCATGGATCATGGACGTACGAGCGACATCCATGACCATGCCAATGCGGCGCTCAGCAATCCCATTTTGCTGCGGAGAGGCCGGAAGCGTGAACGTCTGGCAGATGCCCCTCGCACGACAGAAGGCTCGCAGAGGGCCGGAGGAAAACTCACCACCTCTGTCTGAGTGCAGACGCAAAACAGGAAAGTCCGAGCGGAAACTCTTCCTGAGCTGGAGACGAGCAGCGCGGATCCAGTCGATCAACACCTTAGTGACCTCATCCTTGCGGCGCAAGGGGAAGACCGTGGTGTAACGCGAGTAGTCGTCAACTACCAGCAGGAAGTAGCGCTCGTGACCCTGTCCACGGACGCGGGCTGGGCCCCACACGTCCATGTGAAGAGTCTGCAGCGGAGCCTCTGTCGGCGGAAACTCGGAGGAGTGAGGAGCGGCGCGCTGCCGCCCCTCGACGCAGGGAACGCAGGTAGGGGCAGGCCCCGGGGGGAGGGGAGGGAGCGACCGGGGGAGACCAGAGACCAGGACACGAGAGGCCATGCCTCGGAGACGAGGCAGGGAGGGGTGACCAAGACGGTGGTGCCAGAGAAGAGTCTCGTGGGACAGGAGGCGACACGAGCAGGGGGCAGACTCAGGACCAGACCGAGACGCCGCAGCAAACACCTGACCCGACGCAGCTACCCGACCAGGCACAGC